GTATATGAACCCTTTTATTATAAATAAAATGTGAGGTAAGAGAGATTTTCTCGATGGGGAGGAGCTGGGAAGGCTTCCCAGAGGCATGGCAGTTGAATTGGTCTTTAAAGGACGGAGCCAAAGAGATTTGGGCTCCAATCTCCATTCTGCCATTGATCAGCTATGTAACTTTGTGTTTACCTCTCAGGACCTCAGTTTCCTCATCTGTAAAATGAGAGGGTCAGAATAGATTACCTTCCAGGTCTGTGAACCCACTATCCTATGAATTAATTACCTCCTAAGTAGCTCAGAGCAAGTGTAAAAGAATCATTTGGAGCTCCTGGTCTGTTGTCCATAAATTTCCCTCTATCCTTGGCTTGTGAGACCTCATGTTCCCCTCTGTTTCTTTCATGGGTTCCCATACTATTCATGACTCAAGGTTCAGTCCTTGGCCCTCCCCTCTCCTCACTGTCTTGTCATNTCCTGGTCTGTTGTCCATAAATTTCCCTCTATCCTTGGCTTGTGAGACCTCATGTTCCCCTGTTTCTTTCATGGGTTCCCATAATATTCATGACTCAAGGTTCAGTCCTTGGCCCTCCCCTCTCCTCACTGTCTTGTCACAGGATTAATGGCTACAGGACAGGTTGTCAGAAGTCATCTAGTCTAACCCCCTTATTTTACAGATGAGGAAACTGAGGTCAGAGAAGAGAAGGGGCTTATCCAAGGTCACCCAGGTACTACCTGTGGGAGCCTGGCTTGGAACCTTCACCTTCTTCACCACACCACACTGTCCTTCACTTCCCTCCCTGTCAAAGACCAATACCAGGTCTGTTTGCAACTCAAAGTGCAGTGGCCCGTCTATATTGGTGAAGAGTATTCCCTCAGGGTATACTGATGAAATTCCAGGTCTGGATGCACCCCCATTCCCCACCTCTACCCCCACCCCCAGCAACAACAACAGAAGTATTCATCTTTGTCTGGATAATCAGTTCTGCAAAGCTCCCTTTCAGCCCCAGCAACAGCCTACTTCCTGGTTTCTATCAGCCAAAAGCATAGCGAGCCACTCACACCGTGTGCAATTTGGACTTGATTAGGACAGGAAGACAATTAGCAGAGTTATTTTAAAATGCACTACAGATTAGGAAGCATATTAGAATTAAATGGCAAAAGTGAATGGGGTGATGGAAAGCATAGCATGTGCCCCCTGTCACAATCCCCTCCTTATCTGCAGAGCTTAGAGAGGAAGACGGAAGCCCTGGAGCAGGAACCACTAAGGAACAGAGAATTATTAGAATTTTTTTCAAACCCAGCCTAATTGGAAATGTGATAAGCAGTGATGAAGCCACCCTTTTCAGAAAAAAAAGGAGCAAGTCAAGGAGAAGATATAAACATTCCTCAACATGGGTGGCTTTTGTGGCCGGTGAATGAGGCAGGAATTGATTACTTTCCCCCTTGGAAGCCTTATCTGCAGCTTTGTGGAAGCAATTTCCCTGGGAGACTGATCTCATTAGTTTCTCATTTGTACCCACCACCCTGCTCTGGGGCAAGAAGATGATGATGCAAAGAGGCAATGCCTCCTTGGCACGAGGTGTCTGCTGGCTGTCGGGAGATGCCATCCGACGCCTCCATCCAGGGTCACAAGTGCTCCAGCCAGCTAAGCCAAAGGCTTCCAACGTTCCAGAAGCCTGAGCTGAGCTCCCCTAGCAGAGAACATGGGTCAAGAGACCTCAGCTTCTGTTCTGAATGAATTTCTTTGGCAGGAACTCAGTTCCAGGTGGCATATTCACACCAAGCCATGACCCGGAATCAGAATCAAAGGGAGAGCTGGGAACTTGGCTCACAGATTTACAACCGAGAGGGATCTCATTGGCCAGAATCCAACCCCTTCATTTTACAGAAGAAAATGAGGCTCAGACAGGTGAGGTCACTTGCCTGAGATCACACAGGTAAGAAGTGGCAAAATAAGGCATGATCCCGGGAAGGCATCCAGGAGGAGTGATAATCCATATATAGCAGATCAATCTAATACCAAATAGACATCTAGTTAAGTGCAGACTTGATTCTATATCTTGCTGATGTGAGATATTCCCTCCAAAGATGTAGACTGATCATAATCACATTCTGTTCCACTAGGTACATCCTTGTCCCTACCCTAGCTTTGCCCCAGGGGGTCTACACATTGTGCTAGAGACCTTCCTCGATTTCTCCTGACATCGCTGAAAGTACCAGTGGAGATTATGCCATCATCTCTCACTCAATGACCAGTTCAATTCATTTAAAGGCAGATTTCTTTAATGACATCTTGAATGCACAGAGCACCAGGCCTGCGTTCAGAAGACCAGAGTTCACATGTGGCCTCAGACAATATAGGATAGGGCATTTGACCTGTCTGCCTCAGTTTCTTCATCTGCAAAATGGGGATAATAATATCATCTATCGGCTTGGGTTGTGAGGATCAAATGAGAGAAGTTTACATAGTGCATAGTAGGTATAGTACAAATATAGAATAAATGCTTATTCTCTTTAAATAAACCACACACTTGGGAATTCCTAACACATCTTATTCCTTCCCCACCCCCCCACCCTCACCAGGGGCCTCCTTGAGAGCAGTGCTTTCCATCCATAGCTTGTTTTTGACTCTTCTGCATGCCTGGAATGTCCTCCTTTTTTACTGATTGCTGACCTCCCTGGCTTCCTTTTAAGTCCCAATTAAAATTCTACAGGACCCTTTTCCCAACCCCTCTTAATCCCAGCACCTTTCCTCTGTTAATTATTTATTTATCCTGCATATGGCTAACTTTGTCCATACTTGTTTGCATGCTCTCTCTCTTCCTAAATTGTAAGCTTCCTGAGGGCAGGAACTGTCTTCTGCTTCTTTTTGTATCCCCAGTGCTTAATTACTATTTATTGATGGATTGATTATATCTGCAGGTCACTCTTGGGTGGCAGAGGTCTTTCCTAGGAACCGCGTCCTCCCTGACACGCCCTGGCTGCCCACCACCGGACAGGGCATCTCACCTCAGTGCTCTGGGCACTGAGGTACAGAGGAGGAACCACCTGCATCGGTGGTAGGGATTCCCTCATCTGGGAATTCTTTACACCAATGAAAGCAATCCCAGGTCTGGTACTTAATCCAAGGAGCTGGCAAAATTCCTTGCAAATAGTAGACATATAACAGGATTGTAAAACTACAGATTTTGAGCTTCAAGGGACTGTCTCACATCCCCCCCATGGAAGGCTGGACTTCCAAACCCTATCTCTGACACTCCCCGTCCTTGTGCTCCTATCCAAGTCACCCGGCCACTCTCTCTGCCTGGGTTTCCTCACTGGGGATTAAATTAGATGGTCCCTCGCCGTCTAGGAACCTATGAAGCTGGGGCATTCAGAACAATCCCTGGATTGAACTAGGCAGAGGGATGTACCGTGAGGGCTGCGGAGGCCTCTCCCCTGGTGAGCCCAGACAGCTGCTGGACCGGGCTGTACCACCATCCTCCAATGGGAATAGAACAGAGAAAAAAGAAGGGGCGATGACAAGGCGCTGCTGCTGTGGGGATTTCCCAAGGAAATGAGGAAAAGGCCACGAGGGAAAGAATATGCACCCCACAGCCAGAGTGAGGGATGAGGCCCCTTGACCTTTAGCATGTGTCTGTGTGTCTGTATGTGAGTCTACAGGTGAGTGTGTGTGTGAATGTGCGTCCGTGTGTGCATGTGTCTGTAGGGGTGTGTGTCTGTGTCTGTGTCTGTACGTGTTGGGGGGGGGGCACGCACATCTGGAGCATAAATAAAACGAGGGCTGTAAACTTTGCTACTGTCTAAAGGAGTCAAAGACTAAGTTTTCCTGAGTGTTATTGCTTTATTTGACTTAATAAACATTAGATTCATTTAAAAAAAAAGGCTTAGAGTAGAAATAAGTGCTTAAAACATCTGATAAAAAAGCATATATATAATTCACATTCCTATTTCATATGTCATATACAGCTGAAATGTTCCTTAAAAGAATAAAGATTTCCCTTTAGATGTAGTAGTTTTGAAGAAAAACAAAAAGCTGGCATCTCCAGGAACTACAGGACGTTATTCCGTCGTCTTTTGCCTTGAATGAGAAAACACAAACAAGCAGGCCACAGTAGAACGTTATACTACATTCCAGTTTACGTTGATTACTTGCCAGGGGAAGCCTGGGAATGAGCCAATACCTGAGGATTCTGCCCACCGACCACTAGGGGTCAATGGGCCCCAGCTGTCCAAAGGCACTAGACATGAAAATGGCTTTTTCAGGACAGACAGCGGCGACCCAGGTTCCTGCCCCCTCCCATCACCCCAGCTAATGCAGCCCTGGGCTGGGTACCACCCTTCCCCTCTATGCTTCTCTTTACATTCCCCCCTCCCCGATTTCCTTCAAAAAAAAAATAATAAATCTGGATGGCCGCTTTGTCTGTAGCTCCTTTCTCTCGAGTCATCTACCACTCAAAGGCAGAGAGGGGGGAGCTCCAAAAGCATTTTTTAATCAAGCTTCTTTGCCTGAGTTTTTTTAAAGCTCAAATAGGATTCCTTTTGGGCCACCATGCAAGGCCCTCTGATGTTGCTGACAAAGATTCCCTAACGCTTTACAGAGAGAGCTGGCTCTGGAAAGACTTGGGACCAATCGCTTTGGTGGCCGACTGATGCTTGTAGCAAAGGCCTCTGGGAGTTGGTGGGTGATCCTACAAAGCCTTAAAGAAACATAGAAAAAAAAAAGACTGGGAATGCTGCTATCCCATCTCTACCCTCCAAAGGGGACTTAAGTCTTTGTCATTAAATCTTGGATGGACATGGGGTGGGGGAGAAAGCATAGATTTTGTGTTGGAAGGGACCTTGAAAGCCATATAGTATCATAACCCTTTCAATTTCACAGATGCAAAAACTGAGATCTGGATGGTGAAGTGATTTGTCAGAGGCCATACACATAGATGGCAGGGCCAGGAATCAATCCAGATTCCATTGGATCACACCAGCGATTCCAAACTGGAGGAAGAAACTGGGACTCACCAGAGGAAAATTTATTGCAAGTTCAGAGTTAGAGCAGGGCTTATATTTCCTGTAAGGTCTAGGGAAGCAGGCCTACAGCAATATCATCTATCATCTCCTTTCCATAATGCCAAAGTGTCCGAGTGCATTCAAGGGGTGGGGAGAGATGGAATTCATTGGCTTTTGCATAGAAAACTAGAGGCTAAAATAACGGAGTTCAAGACACAGGATGCACATCTGGTGGGGTTAGGGAGCAGAGATTTGGCCAAATGATCTGGGGGGGCTGCTGTGGTGGAGGGCTCAGGAGCAAAATACTCATGATAATTTCTTCATAAAGAAAGTCACAACCACGTAATATAAGGTAAGGCAAATGGAAAACATCTGTCTGGCTTGGGCTGATTTTGTGGGGGCCCGGAGGGAGCCGCTCTCCACATTTCTCTTTAGCCTGTGATTACGTTGGGCTCCAGTTGCTGAAGGGCTCCTGGCCAATGGTGAATGGGTGCAAGAGCCTGAGAGTTCCTCTAAGGAAGGTGATCCCAAACTTGGGGGCCAGGAGGAGTCCGTCGGAAGCCCACCAAAGAACCACATGAACCCCGAAACAGCACAGAGGAACAAGAGTTAAGAACGGCTATTCTGGGCCAGGAGTGAGCTTTGGCATTCTTGGGAAATGTGGGAAATAGCAGGGGTGTGGGAGGCCGCAGTCCACTCCTCGGCGGCGGTCTGCCTCTCTACTGGAGGGGAGGGGCGAGGAGCTAATGCTGTCTGAGGGGCCCTCTCGTCCCTCATTCCTCTGATACGGTGATAATCTCCTTGGCATTCTCCTCTCTGTCGCTACAGAGTATGGCTGTAGATAGAACTATAGATATATATATATAATATATATTTTTATATATATAAAACATAGCTATTCCGTAGTTATATACAGGCATTAATAAAGTGCAATTGTTATTGGCTATTGTAAGGAAAGGGGGAAAAAAATCTCATTTCCTGAGGAAGCGCTCACACAGCTTATCCTATGACAATGTCACAGGCGTAGAATGCTTTATGTCACCCACTCCCCGCCTGCTGCTGGTTGCCACCAAAGCGAGTTCCTCTCCAGAGCCCCGGCTTCAGGGGAGTGCAGGGACCCCCTCGGTTTCACAGGAAGCCAGGCCAAGGCACTATCAGACGGCGTTTTCCTGCCTTCGGCCTTCGGAGTAGATGGGCAGCGTCCTTGCCCTCACCACGAGCTCAGCCCGGGGTTACTTGGTGGGGCTCAGGGAGCCGTCCTCAGGGATTTTCTCCTCCGAACAGCTTCTCCCCGACAGCCGGTCCAGGTCGCCCAGCTCGTCAAAACGCTCGGCCACACACTGAGCGGTCAGTCGCGCTTCTGGATCGTGGTCCCAGCATTCGGCCAGAGTCTCACAGACCATCTGTATGCCCTGCATGGGGACAGGTCAGGAGAGATCGGGGAGTCAGGAAGAAGCACACAGAAGTCCCAGAAAAACTCAGCCAAGAATAAGGGAAAGGACTCAAGATAGCCTGAGAAGTCTTCTAGTTCGATGAGGAAACAGAGAGGCGAGGAGACTGGCTTGAGGTCACACAGGTAGAGTCCAGATTCAAACCTGGATACCCTTGCTCCAAAGCACAGTCCTCAATTTACTCTCTCAGAACCTCAGAGTTGCCTAGACCATTACAGCATTTACTTGGGTCACCAAGGCAGGATCTGAACCCAACTTTCAGACCTCAAGGTAGGTCCTCTATCCACTCACTATACTATCTTACCTCACCTCGTACAGAGTGCTCCTAATACCCCAGAAGCCTGGCTCCAAGAAGTCCAACCTGATTGCCCCAAGATTTTGACATCACTGAGTATTTCCCTAGCCAGCCAGCACAGATAGTGTGCCCCTACAAACATGGGGACAAAAATGCTCTCAAGTGACCTCGCTCCTGGTCCGGTCCCAGGTCTACAGATAAATCACGGAGAGTGCTATGGGAGCCTGGATTTTCAGGGGCTGCTTCCACAACTCTATTTCTAGCAAACCTCAAAGCCTCCCTCCCCCACCCCATGATTTCATGAAGCTGAATTAATTGCATCATTTACCTAATTGGTGGTATTGACGGATAGTGCCGTTAATAGTGGAATGCTATTGTTTGTACATAAGCAACATTTATTTTATTCTGCCGCTGTAATTACGGGCAGTAAATTAAATATTAAGCATTAACTTGAAATCAATAGTGCGACAAATCTCATTAACAGGAAAAATGTATTATGCAAATTCATTCCAGAATTTTATCACCATGAATAATGGCTTCATTACACCAAACCTACTGCAAGGGAGGGGGAAGGAAAATGCAGCAGAGAGAATCCGGGCTGGCTCCAAGTATACACAAAACAGGCCTGCATTCCTTGGGGGAAAGGTTATCTTGGCCTCAACCACCAGGGGAAGCACTTCGGACCAAGGCCGGGCCTGGAACTCTTCTGGGCTGGACCAGCCCTTATCAGAGGGACTGGATTCCAGCGCTGGCACAGACTGGCTTCTTCCTGCTCCATTTGTCTCCCTGGGTTGTACTGATTGTTTTCATTTCTTCTTCGAACATGCCCTGCCCTGACAGAAACCTTAGACTTGGCTATAACTTTCAATGGATGCAAGAAAAATTTTATATAGCCATCTTATAGGTTAGACAAGGCTATTCACTGCACATGTGGTGGCCTTACATCGAGGGTCCTTCTCTGTGGACATCACAAAAATCACTGCTGTTTTCTCTTCTCTGTCTGTCTGTCTCTTTCTCTCTCTCACACACACACACACACACTCTCTCTCTCTCTCTCTCTCTCTCACACACACACACACACACACACACCCCTGACAATGCCTCCCATGCTAGCTCTTTGGAATCATTGTTAGGGGTGTTTGGCCTGACTGTTCATGTCCTTGTGGGTTCTCTTTCCCTCTTCCCATTTCACTGGCTCATGGAACAGTGTGTTGACATGGAGGGAGGGATGAACTCAGAGTCAAAGAAGGTGGGCTTGAATCTCCCCCAGCTTGGCCATTTATTTCCCATGTGATCCTACCAAAGTTACTCCATCTCCCCAAGCCTCAGTTTCTTTATCTGTGAAATGTGTGCACATGCACATTGGTTAGATGAATTTCACACCTCATCTCAAATCCTCACTAGCTGCTCGTATTCCCCCTAACTATTCCTGTCCTTCTCTCTGAGACCCCTCTCCAATGTCCCCTGTGTTCATCTTGTAGGCACACAGCTGTTTGCATGTCATCTTCCCAATGACAACGTGAACTCCTTGGGATCAATGAGTCCCTTGAGGACTGGGGCCGTTTATCGCTTGTTTTTTTTTTTGTTTTTGTTTTTTCCTCCACTGCTTAACATAGTGCCCGGCACACAGTAGCCACAAATATTGGTATGCTTAACTAAATCTACGCACCTTTGATAAGTGCTTGAGAAACATCCATTGAAGACGCCACAGGATTTCCTGACCAGGAATTTCTCTGATCCACCTAACTTCATTTCTTTTCTTCATTGCTTCCTAAGTAACTTCTTCTCCTGTCTTTTCTTGTATAATCAGACATTTCTCTCCCTATTCTATATCCACAACCCTTCCTCCCACCACTACACCCAGCTTCCTCTCCCTCTCTGTCACACACACACACACACACACACACACATCTTAAGTCATATCTCAGCCTAAGTAACACATGAAAAAGCAGGTAAAAAAAAAAAACCACATCTCTTCCCAGTTTTCTGTTCAAGGACTGGGAATGAGAGAGAAATTAAATATAAATGCCATATGTAATATAAATGCCAATATGTAATGCAGTATGTAATGACTGTGGGGCAGCTACAGCCATCACCATGTTCAAAGGGCAGATGGAATAGGACACAAGAGTTTGGAAAAAATGACATCTCCTCCTAAATCCTTCCTTACTGAATGCCCTATTTAGAAAGCACCTGCTGGCCTGGGCCTGACATTTATAGGAATAGGATCTTCTCTTAAAAACAACAAGGACATTAAGCAGGGAGCGACTGTGCATCTCACCACCAATCCCAGGGCGAATTTCTGCCAGGCTTAGCCAGTACTCACTCGGTGGCTGAGCCATGTGTTGGGGATCTCGGGCCGTCCGCGGTCTCTCAGCACGTTGTCCTTCATGCTCTCCACACAGGGATGCTCTCTCACTTTGGAACCAAACGGCGGCTCATACTCCTTGACTTCTGCCAAGGGAATACACAAAGACAGAGCCATTGAGAAGGGCGGTGGCGTTAGGATGGACTGCATGAATAAATGCCTTGCATAGAGTGCCAGGAGGTGGGCGGCAGGTGTGTACCAAACCCCACGGGCTGTGGGAAAGGGCAAGTAAGAGTGAAAATAAATCAGAGACCATTTCTGTGCCACCCCGGCGCCCACAACCCACAGTGGAAAGAGCCCTGGCTCTTGATTCAAAGTTCTCCTCAGATGCTTCCCTTGTTTGTGACCCTGGATAAGTCACATAACCTCCCCAGATCATCCCTGTTCCCCTCAACTATAAAAGTTTCCTGGGGCAGCTGGGTGGCACAGTGGATAGAGTGCTGGCTCTGGAGTCAGGAGGACCTGAGCTCAACTCCGGCCTCAGATACATAACACTTAATAGCTGCGTGACTCTGGGTAAGTCACTTAACCCCAATTGCCACACACACACACACACACACACACACACACACACGTTTCCTCATCTATAAAATGAGGAATCAACCCCCTCATTTTATGGATAAAGAGAAATGACTGTCCAAGGTTATAGAGGGAAGACTAACCTTCCATCTATAAAATGAGGTGGTTGTCCTATCTGTTTTCTCTGGTCCCTTCTAGTCCCTAGTCCTGTACCATGTATAACAACAGGGACAGAGTCAAGCAATTCCACTAGCCTAGGGTTATATCCAAAGCACTGAGCATGATGCCCTGTGCACAGTAAGTGCCTAATAAATTCTGACATTTCTCTACCAATCTCAGGTGATGAAACTCTGTCTTACCTAGGACAGCCCCCATTTTCTTTGTAATTTAGACTTTAACAGCATTGCCTAGAGCAGGGACGGACAAACTATGGCCCACCATCTGTTTTTTGCATGGCCCACCAGCTAAGAATAGCCATCCACTTTGTGACAGAGATGGTAGAGTCTGGGTACAGACTGAGACGTGCATTTTTGGAAATTGCTGGTGTAGGGATATTTTGCTTGACTACGTATTTCTGTTATAAAGGTTTGGGGTTTCCTTTTTCCCCCCAGTTAGGGACAGGGAGAGATAGAGCTAGATAGATAGACAGATAGATAAAAGCTTGTTAAATGAATATGGGTGTATCTATGTATATGTATGTATGCACACACACACATATGAAAGGGGAGAACAAGAGGTGGAGGGAGGGAGAGAGAGATAGAAAAAGAGCACAGCAGTCACTGGGCCAGTGAGCATGGCCTGAACAGCTTGGCCACTGGCATCACTAGTCCCTAGGGTAATCTCCATGCCAAGATGTGGAATCAATTTGGTAGGAATTAAGTTTTTATAATATAATAATGGTAAAAAAAATTCTTCTCTTTCAGAATACTTTGGGGGTGCAGGGGGTAGATGGGTCTCCCTCTCCCACCCAGGACAATCCTGATGGGCACGACAGAGTTGACTCGCTCCATTTTTCTGACCTCGGCCGGCCTGCCTCTGCTTAGGGAGTCTGGCGGCTCCCAACGGCTCCTGCCTTCTTGGTGCCCTTCAGGGCAGACATCTGATTGCTTTAGCCTACTGCAGCTCAGAACTTCTGAGTTCAAGGGATCCACCAGTCTCAGCCTCACTAGCAGCTGGGATCATAGGTGAGCACTGACTAGAGGAAGCTTGTCTTTAAAGCAACAGTAACTGTCCAGCCAAGTTTTTGGAGGGAACAGAGGACGGCCAGGGAGACTTTAATCCCTGGGAGGAAGAGACTGTCACGGTGACCTTTTCTCTCCAGAAAGCCTACCTGGGGAATGTGGGAGAATTTCTTCTCCTCCCAGGGGTGATGAGACCTGTCCCTCCTGTCAATATTCCTGAGCAAATGTAAAAAGAAGGCAAGCAAGCCTGCTGAGAGGCAGGCCGCCCTGGCCTTCTAAGACTGGTAGCGGGCTGATTTTTGATATTTTCCTACTTCACTTAATGCATGTCACGTCTGGGAGGGTCCCATACCTCACAAAACACAGGTATACCAGTCCCTGAACAATCTGGTGGAATATTCTTGAAAAATGAAGGAACTTTTAAAAAAAATTCTTTGGATTAAACTGGTTTTAGAGCTAGCTGATCCCTTAAGAATCTCAGGTCAACCCCTTTGTTACAGCAGGAAACTAGAGCCCAGAGAAGTAACTAGTCCAAGGTCATACAGAGAATGGGAGAGCCAGAGTTAGAACTGAGGACTCCAGATTCTGACTCTAGGCCTGTTTGCTGCTGCTTCGAAGAAAGAGATCTCACAAACACAATTAAAAAGCGGTCTCGGTTCACTTTCTATTACACGCCACTGTTCCTCTTCACTCCAACAATAAAGTGGCCCATTAAGGCTTTTTTTATTGGTGGATGGTCTTGGGGGAGGGGCTGTTTAGGAGTAAACAGCAACACAATTGTCATTTTGTTCCCAGCTTCTCAGAGTTGACGTAGGAGGAAACCTGGTCACAGCAAACATAGCCGGATGTCACGCATAGCCTGTAATGCAGCATATAGATCTGGAAGGCATTGTAAGAGGTCTAACCCTCTCATTTTACAGATGAATTACCTGAGACCTGGGGGCCACTAGGTGGCGCCATAGTGCACAGAGCACTGGGGCTGGAGTCAGGAAGAAAGGAGTTCAAATCCAGCCTCAGACATTTACTAGTTGTGTGACCCTGAGTAAGTCACGTCACCCTGTTTGCCTCAGTTTCCTCATCTGTGAAATGAGCCGGAGAAGGAGATGGCAAACCGTTCCAGTATCTTTACCAAGAAAACCCCAAATGGGACGCAACTGAAAAATGACTGAATAACAACTACCTGAGGCCTAGAGGGTAACTTGTCCGAGGCCACATAGTAAGTAGCAGGGTATAGATTTGAACCCAGGTCTTTTGACTCCAAATCCAGTGTTCTCTTTCCACTGTACCCCAGTGTGTGACTTCTTCCACCCAGATAACCGGGTTTTTTTGCTCTAGGATAAAGTTAATGGTTTTTGTCTGGGACGTACAAGCCCACGTAGCAAGCATCAGACCTGGAGCCAGAAGGAACGCCGGAGGTCCCCTAGCTACCAGAAGGATCACTGGGTCACAGAATCAGAGCTGGGCATGCACGGGGGCAAGGATGCTCATCTGACAGACGAGGAAACTCACTATTTGCTTGGATGACTCACTTCCCTTCCCTAGGAATGAGCATCAGATTTAAACCCTGGTCTTCTCACTCTCACATCAAGTGCTCTCTGCTTCCATTACACTAGGATGTATCACCTGGTCTCAGCAGTCTACTGTTCAGGTTGGGTGGCCATAGGCTATTTGCATCTTGCTAAATTTGGACCTGGGTTCAAATCTGGCCTCTCTGACCTAAAATGCAAGTCATGTTCCTGCTCTGGGTCATTGTTTTTTGTTGACATGAAGAGGTTGGACTCCCTGATAAATGGTCTGGGATTAAAAGTTCCTTTTACTTAGAAATCCCATCAGAGAGGCAGTATGATATAGTGTATGGAGGAGTTAGGAAGACCTGGGGGTTCAATTCTACCTCAGACACACACTGGCTGTACGACCTTCCGCAAGGCCTTCTCAGGGCCCCAAAATTAGATTCTAAGAATATATGCATCAGATCAGATGCTGGTCTGCATGAGCGGAGGAAATTTTCTCATTGGGAATTCTGTCCCTCTACATTCCCAACATTCAGGGGAGAGATCACTTGCCTGGATGTGGTGAGAATCTGCCTGAAAAATACAGAGGTCAAAGATCTCTTCAAAGATCTTCATATCAACATTATTAATAACTGCACAACCCTGGCAGCAACACAAATTTTGTTGTTCATTTATTTCTGTCACGTCCGACTCCCTGTGACCCCATTTAGGGCTTTCTTGACAAAGATATTGGAGTGGTTTGCCACTTGCTTCTCCAACTCACTTTACAGATGGGGAAACTCAGGCAAACAAGGCGTGACAAGCAGAATGGTTAATTATTAAACTGTAGTACATGAATATGATGACATGTCCTAAAATCATAAGCAAGAGGAATTTTGGAAAGTCTTTTACGGAATAACCCAACATGATAAAGCCAAACTAGAAGAAGGAAGAACCAAGAAATGATGGCCAGGCAAGGGAGAAAGTAGCTGAGAAGTAATGGACAGAAAGTCCTGCTCGGGGCTCAGATTCTTATAATCTGGCCAATAGTGCAGACTCACTAGGAACCTCACTCACCCCAATCAGTGTTTTAATAAACCTTGTCTTTGGCTGAGAAAAAAAAAAGTCCTCCTGGGGACATAAAGGGAGTGCCTGCAATGTTATACTTTCTGCACTGAAATTAATTTACTATCTTATTTACTAAGCAATTTTACTTAGGTTTACTAATGTACAACACTAAGTTTTTAATAAATCACTTAATGCATGAGGCTTCCCCATTAGGTTGAAATCCCCTTAAGGCAGGGGCTGTTTCATTTTGTTCTCTGTACCCCCAGAGCCAGGGCAGCTAAGTGGACAGAGCACCAGGCCTGGAGGCAGGAAGACTCATCTTCCTGAGTTCAAATCTGGCCTTAGACACTAACTAGCTGGGTGACCCTGGGTAAGTCACTTAACCCGTCTGCCTCAGTTTCCTCATCTGTAAAATGAGCTGGAGAAGGAAATGGCAAACCACTCCAGGATCTTTGCCAAGAAAACCCCAAATTAGGTCACGGAGAGTTGGACACAACTGAACAACAACACAACAAAAATCTCCACAGTCTAGCACAGTTCACACAAGGTGCATGTTAAACTCTTCATCGATGCCTCTTGGCTGGGAATAAAAACCGTGGANAAATTAGGTCACGGAGAGTTGGACACAACTGAACAACAACACAACAAAAATCTCCACAGTCCAGCACAGTTAACACAAGGTGCATGTTAAACTCTTCATCGATGCCTCTTGGCTGGGAATAAAAACCGTGGG